CCGGCGGCGGATGAGTAACCGGCATTATTACTTGCTGGGTTTCCTTTCAGGGAAGTAAGAAAAGTGGCTGGGCTTCTTCAAATCAAAATCGCTCCTATTTGGTGTTGTTGTTGTTGTTGCTGCTTCGCTTCCTGTTTTTCTCGGACCCCGTTTCTACTCTGCAGCTCGGTGGCTTTCGCGCACCGCGACGAGCCGATGGCTTCCACGGTGCCTGATGAGATGCCGATAGGTGATGGGAGAGGCTTTCACGCAAGCTAAACAAAGACGAAACCAAAGTTTTTTTTTTGCATCAGATATTGATACTGTATATCTTGATCTCCGAGGCTGTGGACATTTTTTAAAATGCGCTTTAAATCCTATTTAAACGCTTCCGCTTATTCAACTTTTAGTTCAATTAGTAAATGGATTCTTTAAAATGTATTTATAATAGTATTATTTGTATGCTGAGTGTCTGCTGCTGCTGCTGTTCTGTATATCACTTTCAGATCCTTGATGAAACGTGCAATATAAATGGAATGACTATTATTAAGGCCCACTCAGCTATATAACTATGTTTCAGAAGCGACCAGGCTATCAGCAATGATAGCCCAACGAAGTGGCTTATCGTCACGTGGATATGTATAGCAGTTGCCAAATACGCTAAACGCACATCAATGACCAAGCAATTGCAGGGCTGCACATTTAACTGCAAAGCACCAAACTTAAAACTTAATCTATAAAGATGATGTAAAGGAGCTTGCGTGTGTTTGTGTGTATTGCTGGTGCAGTCTGTTGGCTACCCATATTACTAATCTATAAACTTAACAACAAAATATTTTTTTACAAGTCAAAGCCCACGAAGCAATGCAGCTCTTTTTCAAGAAGCGACCTGGCCACACCGAAGTGGTCGCTTATCATCACGTAGAATTTATAGCAACCAAATACCCTAAACGCATGGTTCTAAATGTGGAGAAAACCCCCAGAGGACCCGGAGAAAAACGCACGCGGCCACGGGGAGAGAGACATCACAAACTCCAAATACACAGCAGGCGTCAGGGTCGGGATCAAATCCACGATCTCCTGTGTACCCGGCGAGGTAGTTAACATCTCTGGTGAAGGCGGGGGAGAATACAAGCACAGCACAATGAGTGCAATGCAACAATTGATGTTGCCGCACTGCCCTATCTACCGGTGCCTGCCGAGCGGGCTCCTATTTAAATGAAAGTGTGTGAACATTTAACGTCGCTAAATAAGTTGACAACGATGGCAAGGACAACGTCCCTCGTTCAGGAACGCCGCAGCGAGTCTCGAGAAATGTGTTTTAAAGACGACGTGCATTTTGGGGTCCCTTGGCCAGTAGCTGAGAGTGTTGCGGTGAATCGATGTCCGGGGGTTTTCCATTGGCCGACTTTTGGACAAGCAGTGTTAGTATTCGACTGTAACCGTGAGCTCTTAAACATCATTAGGACACACACACACACGCTAGCTTACAGAGATACAGAGTATATAGACACACAGCGTAAACTATATATACACACACGGGGCTCTCACACACGCAGGGGATACACGGGGGATACACATAGCATACAGACACACACATAGTGTATAGACACACATGGGATACACACACAGCGTACAGACACATGGGATACACACATAGTGTATAGACACCCATGGCATAGACACACATAGCATACAGATACACACATAGCGTATAGACACACATGGGATACACACACAGCGTACAGACACATGGGATACACACATAGCGTACAGACACACATGGGATACACACACATAGCGTAGAGATGCACATGGGATACACACATAGCGTACAGACACACATGGGATACACACACATAGCGTAGAGATGCACATGGGATACACACACATAGCGTAGAGATGCACATGGGATACACACACATAGCGTAGAGATGCACATGGGATACACACACATAGCGTACAGACACACATGGCATACACACACATAGCGTACAGACACACATGGGATACACACACATAGCGTACAGACACACGGGATACACACATAGCGTACGGACACAGGGGATACACACACATAGCGTACAGACACACATGGAATACACACACATAGCGTACAGACACACATGGCAAACACACACATAGCGTACAGACACACATGGGATACACACACATAGCGTAGAGATGCACATGGGATACACACACATAGCGTAGACACACATGGCAAACACACACATAGCGTACAGACACACATGGCATACACACACATAGCGTAGAGATGCACATGGCATACATACACATAGCATAGACACACAGGGAATACACACACATAGCGTACAGACACACAGGGGATACACACACATAGCAAAAAGACACACAGGGGATACACACACAGATCACACACACGGGATACACACAGATATACATCATACACACATGGCATACACACACGTGGCCTACACACGTGGCATACACACACACACATGGCATACACACACACATGGCATACACACACACACACGTGGTATACAGACACACAGGGCCTACACACACACACAACACATACAGATCACACATACAGACACACGTGGATCACACGACAGTACACTACTAAAAGATAATCAATACCCCGAGTTTCCTGGCTGGCTGCTGGTTGGGTCTTCTCTCCAGCGCCCCAACAGTAACTCGTGTTGTTGTTGTTAGTGGCTGCTGCGGCCTGTGCCCACCGAAACTAGCCGGGCAACTGGCTGCACGGGATTTTCCGTGTAACAAATGCAATTGTAAATGTTTGTGGATGAAGTAGTAAACTAATTGGCGCGTTTTGTTTACGTGACACACCTTACTGACCTGACCTTTCGCGATGAATAATATTGGTCGCGGAAGCCTGCGTGTTAAAAAAACAATTAACAAATAAAACATCTAATTTGGATTGAAACGGCGAAAAAGATGGCTTGGAAGACGTGATGATAATTAAAGATAAAATACTGTAATATCGACGAGAGGTGAGAGTGACGAATGAAGAAGACTGATCGCGGCTGAGTTCTAATTATAATCGCTTGAACGATTTAACCTTTTACATTCCTGTGTGTAGGTATGCAGAACTTCTTTTGCGCCGCACGTAGCCATCGTTCTTTGAATAATCGACAACACGTGACAACAACATCATCCAAAAACAGACGCAGCCCTCACAATGCAAATATACTATCTTCGCGTTAAATCCCATTTAAATAAAACGCCAAATCGCGGTACTTTTAGTAATGTAGCGTCCAGGATTGTCAAGAAAGCGTTGTAAAAATTTACGAGAACCGTCTGCCACACAGTTTTGCATTACCAGTCAACCCGTACGGTTTTACCCGTAATTCTTGTACAGGGCACATTGAGTTTCCAGGTCCATACGGCGTACAGCCGTTTCAATACGGGCAAAAAAAAATAATCTCTCTGTTTGTTTGTGTCTCTCCCCTTGTGATAGGACTTTGTAGGATGAACGCTGAGATTTTATAAGGGGCACGGGGTGACCAATAAGATCTGAATTGGTCTGTAATAAGGTAGGGGCACTGATTAGGGGGTTCACAGGTATGGCTTTGTCCGTCGCAGAACAAAGAAATAACAACAAACAACAAGATCGTCCTCTAACCCAGATCGGGGATTACGTACGGACGTTCAACTTCTTTCGCACCGAGCAAAATATGGAAATTGCCATTAAGAAAGTAGCTTTTGCTGTCGTCCCCACGTTGTGGAACTCAACAATCCCCTTCAGCACATCAGCAACATCGAATGTGCACCCTTGACTATTCAGAGAACATCTAAAGGCCTCTCTCTCTCTCTCTCTGTCTTTCTGGGTCAGGCTTTCGAGCAGCCCTGAGCTTGGATCCGTACTTCTTGAGCTGTTGGCGAGATGTTAACTCCCTCGCCTGGTATACGGGAGGTCGTGGGTCCGAACCCAACCCTGACACCAGCTGCATATTTGGAGTCTGCATGTCTCTTATCATCATCACGGTGGCTATGAGATGTTAACTACCTCACCTGGTATACGGGAGGTAGTGGGTTCGATCCCGACCCTGACGCCTGCTGCTGTATGTTTGGACTTTGCGTCTCTCTCTCTCATCATCATCATCACGATGGCTAGCAGATGGTAAATACCACGCCTGGTATGCGGGAGGTCGTGGGTCCGATCCCAACCCTGATGCCTGCTGCTGTATATTTGGAGTTTGCGTGTCTCACTCTTTCCCCGTGCTCGTGTGGATTTTTCTCCGGGTCCTCCGGTTTTTCCCTCCACATTTAGAATCAACATCACGCGCTTAAGATAATCTGGCTGCTATAAATTTCCACGTGATGATGATAAGCCCACTTCGTTGAGCTATCATTAGTGATGGCCAGGTCGCTTCTGAAAAAAGAGCTGCATAGCTCAGTGGAGCCTTACCTGGTAAAATAACATACAAAATAGTGTAAATGTTGTGGATTTGCTCTCCAACACAACGGTGTGCTGTACTAGTAACGAATTGGCGCGTTCTGTTTTACGTGACAAATCTTACTAATTGGCTGTGTCGGGTGGTGGCGGGTTTAACGACGCATTTATATCTACGCGATCTAACCCAAAAACAAACCTATATTATGGATGCTGTTGGTCGCGAAAGCCCACGTGTTAAAGTGGACGATCTTTAACGGTAGCCAGATGCCTCGGTGGTAACAGCGAGCATCTTGGAAGGTTGACTCAGCCCATCATGCCTCCCTCCGGGGGGGGGGCAATAAATATGCGTACACATTTGTGGGAAACTCAACAGTGACTGTCTAACGGCTTGAATCGCTCACCCTCCTGCCACGGCAATGTGGAATTGCCACCCAACAGCTCTGCAGTCGCTGTAAACAGATGAGCGCCAGTGCCTCGATGCTCATTTTGAGCAGGACATCTCGTTGACTTGCAACGGTAGAAACGTGTGCGCCGTATTGCGTCAACAAAGGGGGTGAGATGTTGGGAGGGTCGTGGGTGAGCGAGCGAGTGGGTGAGTGAGTGAGCCCTTCACCGCTGTTGATCCTGCTGCAGTTGACGATGTGCGCCACTCGCGAGTAGTAGTGCTCCTCGCCGCGCGCCAACGCCTCTGCGCACCAGCCCTGCTCGATCGACAGCCGCCGCCGCTGCTGCTGCACCAGCATGTCCCGGGTGCTGTTGTAGAGGGCCATCACGGAGCCCGGAACCACCACCGCCTGGCTGCCGCCGCCCTCGAAATGCTCAGGCGGCTCGGCCAGCCGCAGCTTGCTCAGGATCTGACCGCGGATCGCCTCGATTCGCTTGCGCGTCAACTCGGTAAGGTCCAGGCTCCGACAGGTGGACATCGCGAGAGGCGTGTGGGGTTGAAGCACCAGCAGCAGCAGCGGCGATAGCAGCAGCAGGGGCATCGTCAGCCCGCCAGCACCAGCCATCGGAGCCCGCGGGGATGATGATGATGATGATGTTAATGATGATGGAGAGATGAAATTTGGGTAGGAGCGTTCCGATCAGTCCAGTTTGGCCGCACGGTAGTGCAGCTGATGATGACGACGACGACGACGGTGGAACCTTCTACCTATAGGTGTTGAGAAGTCCTGTTCGACAGATCTACTGCCGAATCGAGTCCAAGTTGGCCCTACGTGGCCGCGTGGTGGTGTAAAAGATGATGGTGGTGGTGATGATGGTAATGATGATGATGATTGAATAAAATACTGTACTCGTTTGTTGAGAACTTCTGTACTCTAAATTAACTACAGCTCTGTCAGTAGCTAGTCCAGTGTGTGTATACACAAAATAAAAGGTCACCCGTAGAGCCTGAACAGACTGTTGGGGCAAGCACTGTTAGCGAGCACCGATGAAAGCCGGGTCTGCACACGAGGGAGTGTGGTGGCCAGATGACTACACACCGCACCAGCTACTCATTAGAGTCCGAGCCGACCTAGAGGAGGTATCCCAGGACCGGTTCAGATACTCGCCACCGGTGGTGTTGGCCGTGAGTATCCGTGGAACCGAACTCGGGTCGCCGGGTTCGTGGCGCAGAGCGCGAAACCGCTGCGCCACACAACAACAGACGAAACGCACGAGCGCGCAGGGTTACTTAAAACCCAACAGCTTTGTGAATAAACTCAACGCTCCCTCTCCCGTCCTCCGTGGTAATGTCCTCTGGTTAGCGTCTGGTAGTGTTTAGGAGAGTCCGCAGGAGGAGGAGGCAGAGCAGGAGGAGGGAGGAGGAGGAGGAAGAGTCGACGCGGCACCAGTAAAGCGGAACATGTGTGGGCGAGGGGATGATAAACGGGGGGGGGGGGGGGGGGGGTGTGGGAGGGGGTGGGGTGGAACTTACTTGGGTGGGTGGTGTAGGGAGAGGGGGAGACAGAGGGGCTGACACGGCGTAGGAAATACTTCATTATGTGATGTGTCACTTTGACCATCCCCGCTCTGGGCATCTGTGACGACGAAAAAGAATACAAGGCGATCATAGCTCATCGGATTCCTCCCGCGGTCGAAATAAGCATTCTGATTTATGATCCGTTACCACGTGTATCGATAGTTTCATTTTAGCGTGCGATTTTATTGGCGGACTGTTGTTGTTGTTGTTGTTTTGAAGCCTTGCCTAAGCTGGGATTTATTGTTGCAAACAATCATTAGAAATCGATATACTTTTGCAATTTCTACTTGTGTTTTTTTTTACATATTTATTTATTGTGCATTCCTGCCGGTGTTTGTGTTGCCTCTTGGAACTTTCTGATCCCGCGCCCCTACTGGGCATCTGTGGAAAAAGAGCTTCATAGCTCATCGGATTGCTCCTGCAGTGCAAACAGTGTCGGAGTAGCACAAGTAGTAGCTACAACATATATGTAGTAGCTACTACATGTACTATTAGCTACTACATATATGTAGTAGCTAATAGTACATGTAGTAGCTACATACAGTGAGGGAAAAACGTATTTGATCCCCTGCTGATTTTGTACGTTTGCCCACTGACAAAGAAATGATCAGTCTATAATTTTAATGGTAGGTTTATTTGAACAGTGAGAGACAGAATAACAACAAGAAAATCCAGAAAAACGTATGTCAAAAATGTTATAAATTGATTGGCATTTTAATGAGGGAAATAAGTATTTGACCCCCTCTCAATCAGAAATATTTCTGGCTCCCAGGTATCTTTTATACAGGTAACGAGCTGAGATTAGGAGCACACTCTTAAAGGGAGTGCTCCTAATCTCAGCTTGTTACCTGTATAAAAGACACCTGTCCACAGAAGCAATCAATCAATCAGATTCCAAACTCTCCAACATGGCCAAGACCAAATAGCTTTCCAAGGATGTCAGGGACAAGATTGTAGACCTACACAAGGCTGGAATGGGCTACAAGACCATTGCCAAGCAGCTTGGTGAGGAGGTGACAACAGTTGGTGCGATTATTCGCAAATGGAAGAAACACAAAAGAACTGTCAATCTCCCTCGGCCTGGGGCTCCATGCAAGATCTCACCTCGTGGAGTTGCAATGATCATGAGAACGGTGATGAATCAGCCCAGAACTACACGGGAGGATCTTGTCAATGATCTCAAGCCAGCTGGGACCATAGTCACCAAGAAAACAATTTCGATTTAAAGCTTTCGTGACTGCAAGGATTCATCTTCTTTGGTTCTTTCAGTAAAGTCACGTAGGACAGCGCTGTCCTCCAGACAGTCTCGTCCCTTCACCTGATGAAGGCCGCTTGTGTTGTGGCCGAAACGTCGTGAGAATTTTATTGTGTTATTTTATTTTATCAATTTATTATTGTATTCTCATTCTACGTTACTTTACCGAAAGAACCAAAGAAGAAGAAAACAATTGATAACACACTACGCCGTGAATGACTGAAATCCTTCAGCGCCCGCAAGGTCCCCCTGCTCAAGAAACCACATACATGCCCGTCTGAAGTTTGCCAATGAACATCTGAATGATTCAGAGGACAACTGGGTGAAAGTGTTGTGGTCAGATGAGACCAAAATGGAGCTCTTTGGCATCAACTCAACTCGCCGTGTTTGGAGGAGGAGGAATGCTGCCTATGAAACATTATGCTTTGGGGGTGTTTTTTCTGCTAAGGGGACAGGACAACTTCACCGCATCAAAGGGACGATGGACGGGGCCATGTACAGTCATATCTTGGGTGAGAACCTCCTTCCCTCAGCCAGGGCATTGAAAATGGGTCGTGGATGGGTAGTCCATCATGACAATGACCCAAAACACACGGCCAAGGCAACAAAGAAGTGGCTCAAGAAGAAGCACATGAAGGTCCTGGAGTGGCCTAGCCAGTCTCCAGACCTTAATCCCATAGACAATCTGTGGAGGGAGCTGAAGGTTCGAGTTGCCAAACGTTAGCCTCGAAACCTTAATGACTTGGAGAAGATCTCCAAAGAGGAGTGGGATAAAATCCCTCCTGAGATGTGTGAAAACCTGGTGGCCAACTACAAGAAACGTCTGACCTCTGTGATTGCCAACAAGGGTTTTGCCACCAAGTATAAGTCATGTTTTGCAGAGGGGTCAAATACTTCATTAAAATGCCAATAAATTTATAACATTTTTGACATGCGTTTTTCTGGATTTTTTTGTTGGTATTCTGTCTCTCACTGTTCAAATAAACCTACCATGAAAATTATAGACTGATCATTTCTTTGTCAGTGGGCAGACGTACAAAATCAGCAGGGGATCAAATACTTTTTTTCCCTCACTGTATGTAGTAGCTACGGGCCCCGCACTTTCAAAGGCCCCGCGCTAATGCTTTCAAGCTTTCAATTCCGGTTCAGTGATTCTGCACTTGCTCTATTACTATAGTACTATACCGCCTTCAACTTTTATGAACGACTGGGTGTTTAAGGTTAGCGATTTGTCGTATTATCTGGCTGTATAGCAAATAAAAAATGCAATTACTTCATTGTTCAAGTAAAACAAATTGTGTTTGAATATCTACGTGTTTTTTATTACACGCTTTTTATTAACTCTTTGTCTGTTATTGTTGTTGTCGTTGTATCCTCAAATCTTGTAACTCAATTTTAACCCACTTACCAATGTGGTATCGACTGCAAACTTGGTATACTTATGTCATACCGATGACAATACTATATTCTATCAAAAAAAAATAACAAATATATATTTTTAAACATTATTTTGTATATGTTTTATGTTTCGGCTTGGGTCTAATTGTCCACGCTCAACTCACGTTGGCTGTAATTGACCATGGTCCCCTTACGTTATGGCAAGCTTCGGGGCCACTTCCTGGAGTCATGGAGTTCTGCCATTACCAACTAGTACATTTCATAAAAGCGTGTTTTAAAAAAAAGTTTTTTTTTAATATTGCTTCTTTTTATTTAAGACCCCCTTTATAACATATGCTACAGGCCCCACACTAGCCCAATCCGGCACTAAGTCTAAAAAAGATCTGATTATCAGCAGTGTATTTGGATATGGCTCTTAATTAATTCACCAAGGTCGTCAATCCATGCAAAATAAATGCACAAAAAAGTCTTAAACATCAGAAGCATTGTAATTCTTACCAAGTCCATCATCATTAGCATCTTTATCATCATCATGATAATCTTTTTTAAAAAACACAGCATTTCCCTTGACTTCGTGAACTGTTTATCGTAAAACTTCTGAAAAGACTGATTTTTTTCTCTCCGCATTCTCACGAGTTGAGAGCCCTTCCCGCATGCACACAACAATAACAATAACAACAAAACACGAAGAAAATTTACCCGGATTAAAATCTACAACTATTAGACAGGCGCTCCTGAAATGTGAGCAGAGAGGCGTGGAGAGGGTTGGCAAGTTTGCAATTACACTGGGAGGCAGACATTGGGGCACGTGGATGAGAGAACACATGCTCGCTAGCACTCTCGGAGTGAGTGTACTGGCAGTCTATAATGTAGACTGTAGCCTGGTTATTAAGTTTGGTGAGTGTACTGGCAGTCTATAATGTAGACTATAGCAATGGCTATTAAGCTGGGTGAGTGTACTGGCAGTCCATAATGTAGACTGTTGCCTGGTTCTTAACCTCGGTGAGTGTACAGGCAGTCTATAATGTAGACTACATTGTAGTATTTGTTCGGTGGCCAGCCAAAATCCGCTGCTGCTGTTGCGAGGATGACCGTAGTTCGCTTTGACGCCGCTGCCAGAGTTTGGCAGTGAGCGGTGTGCTCATAGCACAAGTAAAACAAACATTGACGAATCTGTGACTCATGGGAGAGGGAATCTTTTTTTTTTTTCAAAAAATAAAAGTGACAGAGGCTGAGACAAGTCTCGCTGTAAACTGTCCCGGTGCCATGAAACGGGTCAGTGGCCGGCGTGAGCGGGAGTAATTCGAGGACAAAATCCCCGTGGGAGTTGGCCGGGCTGGACTTGAGCGGCCGAGTGAGTGAGGGAGCGCAGCGCTCTTCCTGTGTCTAGAACGCGTCCGTGGGGTGCGCGCGCGCTTTCTTCTGATGATTCAAGAGGGGCTGTGGCGCAGCGATTAACGCGCACTGCCCCCCCACCCCCCCCCCCACGGACCCCGGCCACCCGAGTTATATTGCGCGCTCGGGACCAACGCCCGTGGTGTGTAAACATCGTCACTAGGAAGACAAAGGCGGACGCGCGTGATGTTGGCTACCCCACCGACTCGTGTGCCGTGCCGGCCGGGCGTTCAAAAGCGTTCGCTAACAGCACTTGCTCCAACAGTTCGTTACGTAGTCTACACGGGGTATCTTTGTTTAATGATTAATACAGGGGGAACTAGTTGTTAGTTATCACGCTACGAACTCAGCGACCCGAAGTTCGATCCCGAACCGCGGCTGATATCTGAACCGCTCCTGGGCCTCCCTCTAAGTCAACTCAGCCTCATATGTGTGCGTGCAGTGCGCACATATCAGCACTGGGGA